TCTCCGACTCTTTTCATTTTACTCAGATAATTTAAATGAGAATATAGCGCAGAACAACAAAGAAAAATGCAAGGCATTTAAACAAATAGCACGAGAATAGATTGTAAAATAGGAACTGCGGTTGGAATTGAAAAATTATCGTAAATCAAAGAAACAATTTGAATAGACTAGGAAAGAGATTTGAAACAATTATCAATTCTGATCTCGAGTTATGTCTTTGTGGCTAGATGAATTGTAAAAAATAATAATTACCGATAAATATGTTCATTTTTCAAGATAGCGTAGGAACTTTTATAATGCAGGAACTGTCATCTTAAATTTATATGTAAATCGAATCACTTAATGTATGAGTACACTAAACTTCAATTAAAATTCTGCCAAAGTCTCTTTAGTCGATATTTGCTTGCATCACAAAAAGCTTTCCATTTTCAAGGCAATTGCACAAGAACTATGAGTATTTCGACATCTTCTGGGAGAGGAAATCGATTCTGAAACTTGGCCAAAAATGGCCGAAGAATTTAAAAAGATAGTAATTCTGAGGCATCTTTTGCAAACGGTTTAAAAAAAGTTGATACTTAGAAATTTGTAAGGCTGCATATTGGGATTTGCATAATTCATGAAAATTGTAAAAATAATGAAACTAAGTTCTAGGATAAGTCACAAAGAGTAGATAGATTCTATAGATATATACACGTACCAGATATATATACAACAAATAGATGTATGTATAAATATATCGCTATATATACATATACATATACATATATATATATATATATATATATGCATGTATGTATGTATATGTATAACGCATGTATGTATATTATATTTTGTGTGTGTGTGTGTGGGGGGGGAGGGGGATGTAGGTGTGTACAATTACGTACGACATAAACGTATAATTACGTACCGATAACACGAAATATATTATTTATATATAATATCAATTATCATTTTAAGTCCGATAAGACACATTTTCCTTCCCATTCTCCTCCCATTCCCCTTTCTGCCCGTAGGCCATCAACTTAAACTTCCGTATCTGCGTTACGTGTCTGACGGAGAAGGGCAGGGGGAGGGAGGGGAGTCTGTCAGATGCGTATCGGGGCCTCGCCCTGCGGACGCCCTGCGGACGCCCTGGCCATGCCCGCGTTTCCTTCGGCCGTGAAAAATCTGCGACGGCTTCTACGCAGCGAGAGACACGCGAATGGCGTTTCCTCATAAACGTCCCGTTAACACGTGTCCCAGCATCGGAATGATGTCAGTGCACGCACGTGTCGCGCCGACATCTATACAGGTCTCGGCGGCGCGTGTACGCGCGTGTCGCCAAGCACGGAGGCATTCGTCCCCGTCGTCTCTCTCTCTAATAGAGCGAGCGTGCGGGGCAGAATGACGTAAGACGGCCTTCCACGTGCCCGCCCTCATCGGCGGTCCGCCGCCGCTCCGCGCGTGTATCGCTCCTCCTCGTGCAACCTTAACGTGCGCTTCAATCGAGTTTTTCCCGCGAACGCCAGAATTATCGCCGCCACGTCCTATCCGCGCGCGTCACGCGCCATGATTTTCAGCACCGTCGACGGAAAGCGCAAAATAGATGACTTTACTCGATTGAGGTTTGGGGGACGAGCGTCCTGCGCGTGATGCGCGCGTTAATCACCGTTAGTCACCGACACGTGCCAAGGCGTAAAATACCGCGTGTTTACGCTGACACATTCGATATGCCTTTCTGAAAGAATCGTAAGAGATTACGTATGCCTGACAGCTGAGCGCCTCAGCCACTTATATGCGATATGATGGGGAGGAATACGAGGAAATTTGCTTTCGTCATATGAATGAATATATCTGGTTCGATAAACCACGGAATCTTATGACGGAACGGCTAGAATCTCCGACTAGATGTACGAGCGCAGACATGAATCATACACATATAGAGATCTTTGGAAATAAACATTCGGTTTTGTTCAATTAAGGTTCTATTAAGGTTCTAATAAACCGACACACGCCAAAAAAGAAACTATAGTTAACATTATAATTCATGATATACATCGGAATAGATTGTCTACATATATATATATAACCGTGAAATCATCCCCCATATTAATTTTTCGATATTTTACGGCGAACGACGAATAAAGATCGCAGGCGCTATTTTTAACATCTTTCGTTATAATCACACGTTTCGAAGAAACTTTAATCCTCAAATATATATATCTTGGAGAGGGAACGTATATTACTTATAAATAAATTATACACACATACACGTGTATATACATATGTATATGTTACATACTGTACGTAAAAATGATGAAACATGCAAAAATGTAACGGACGCAGGACAATGGAAGAGAGGGGGGGGGGCAGGGTCGTAAAAATTATCGCGAAAATACAAACGGCGTGAATAATTGAGAGTGAAATGCAGACGCGCGCGTGCCGCGCGATGCAGATGCTCTTTACCTGCTCGAGTTTCCACGCACCCGATGTGTCAAGGACTCCTTGTATTTATTTATCACGTATCATACAGTCACGAGCACGCGCGCGCGCGCGCGCGCACTTGTCCGCGTTACGCTTCGCACGTGGTGGAGAGGATTCGAGGTCAAAACAATCTCAAATATACGCGCCGCGCCACGAGTGGGAGTCGTGAGGCTTTGGCATTATTTCGGTGCAGGCACGTGCAGTGACGTTGGCGGTAATCAGGTCATCGCCTGCATCGATCGCGTCGGGGGGCTGTAAATGCGCGGGGGCGGCGGTGGTGGCGGAGGTGGCGGTGGCGATGGCAGTGGCGGTGACAATGACGATGACGATGACGATGACGATGACGATGACGATGACGATGACGATGACGATGACGATGACGATGACGATGACGATGACGATGACGATGACGATGACGATGACGATGACGATGACGATGACGATGACGATGATGGTGGCGGGGGCGGTGGCGACAACGACGGAAGGATACCCACGTGTAGGATACATAGGTCGTTATCAGAATGCCGGATGTTATTCCGAAGTCAATAGCGGGGCATTAAGAGAGACACATCAGTTCGCTAATGACGTGTTCGCTAATGCCATTCGACCCTGTTTTGCGGAAGTTATAATGTCAGATATCTCATTGTCTTTTATACGCGTGCGAATTTTTAAGAAATGACTCTGATTGCCTATAATCAGCATGTATTTTTAATTAATGAACCGTCGTATATGCCAATAATTTACATTGGTCTGTTATGTGAATAAAATTAAAATGTAACACATCTTGTTCATTTTGTAAATGCCAACTGGAAATACCTTTTCTCCATGTATTTATAAATACTTCATATATGACACCATATTCCTATGGTGTCATATTATTTATAAACGAGTTGTAGAAAAAATTTTAATGATATGGCACTTTTTATTATCAGTTTTTTTTTTTAGAATAGAAGTTTAAAAAATCACTTTTATTATTTCTATTTAAAAAATTAATTTTCTTGAGAAAAGGAAAGAGAGAGAAAAAAATGCAATATTTTTTCTTGCTTGATTTATTCTAGAATATTTGATTGTTTAAAATAGAATCCCAAATATATCTTGAATATAAATATCGCGATGGTCGAGGAAATATATTTGTACAATTTATGTAACTTCGTATAAACCGATCAAACAAATTTCAAAAGATATTTGCAAGATGTTTGCATTCCAAAGATATTGCTGAGAAGATGATTATAGCTATTTATAATTATTTTATGAGAAGTAACATTATACTTTTTTTTATAATTCTATAAAAATACGTTTTAGATTTCAAAATTTGCTATTATAAAAAATTTTATTTCGCTACTTTATTATCTTTAATTTCCATCCAGCTCTTTCTGTGAAGCAAAAATAATAATGAAGGAATACCGGCACGTTTCGACTTTTTGTTGTATGCAAATGTTCCCATCATGTAAAATCTCGCGCGAATACTGAAGCAGATATAATTAATATTCCCTTGGTGTTGAGTCTTCTACATTATGGACGAATTATTATCTTTGCTTTTATCTAACGATGTTATAAACATCATATCATGAACGTGATGTGGTAAAATATTAATATGGAAATCGCATTTCACACAGAATTCTCACATCAATGGCGCCGACTATTTGCATAGCAGAATTTCCAATGGCGGGGACCACCGTTAGCACAAATATTCATCGCCGGCGAAGATCTCAAAATGGCACGAAACGACGGAGATTCGCGTTGGAAGAGATGTTGCGAACCGGAACAATTGTTGAGACGTTTCTGCCATCCCGCGAAAATTGTTCACGGAGACTCGACTGCGCGGATGCGGTTTCGGATTGCTCCATCGCAGACAAAAGCGGAAGATGCTCGACGAATATGGACGAGCATTACAGAAGACTCGTCGCGGAAAGAAGAAAAGGTAAAGGATCACTAAATGTTACGTGGAGTGTTACGTTTTATTTTACAATGATACTACAATGTTAGAACTTTCTCGAATACTCGTGACCTGACTTATGAGGCATGTCGAGGACTTTGGGGCAAGCTAAAACATGTACTTTTAATTCAAAGTCAAGCGTTATGGAAACTTCCGTTATGGAAACCTTTTGCGTCGCGATTTGTAATTGAGATTTTCGCAACTTGAGATTTTTCGCTCAGAACTAAGAGGATAAAATTGAAATTTGAAATAAGAGATAAATACTTTTAAGAGAGAGGGTTGAAAGTGATGTATAAAATTTTTAATTTTTTTTTTGTAAAGTATTTTTTGCTCATTTTGAGCTATACAAAATGAGAGAGAAAGAGAGATTTTTATATATGTTTAAATGTGTATGTCTGAAAGAAATTAAATATGTAGATATTAAATAATGACTTTATTTTGCTATGTAGGCATAAAAAGAAGATAAATTCCATTGAAAAGGATAAAATTGTAATATTAAATTAAAACCTGAGGCAAAATTCCATAAAATCATGCTGATCTTTATGTACTTTTTTTCTTAGAAAGAATTTTGAAATAATTTTTATAATCTTTTTTAATCTCTTTTTTAATCTCTTAAAAAATAAATTATATAATTTAATTTTTAAGGGATTAAAAAAGATAGAAATTTTAATAAAAGTTACAAACAGTCACAATTGCGAAAAAGAAAAAGTTCTTTGAATCATAAAGAATTAATACAAAAAGAATTATCTAGAATAAAATATCAATTAAAATTGTCGATTATATATGAAAATAAAACAAAAATTATTTAAATATATTGTGATGAAAAAGAAAACAGAGATGCATAGTTTTATTCTATGATTTTGCAACTGCACCCTTTCTCTTGAAACAAAGCGAAGCTTGCCAAAGGTTTCTCCTTCACGAGACGCTTTTCGTAATTCTCGTATTTTCATTAATCCCTCGTGCTCGTTCGAGGAATTTATTTCGAAGGATTTACCAATTCGCGCATTATTCCCGACGCGTGACTGATGTTTCTCGATCGTTTCCGCAGATCTCTTGAGCATTGTCATACGCACAATAATTCTCGTACGGCGCAATTGTATCCTTCAGAGGCGCTTAAACGCACTGCGGGCGGAAACGCGAAGATTCCTCCGCTCCGTGTTAAATAATCCGGAAAATCAACGTCAACAACGAAGTCCGCAAATGCCATCAAATTCGGAGGACTCGTCATTCGCAGAGAAAATCGTCACGACGTTCGTAACATCTCCGCTTAACCTTAATTCGACGAGAAATTCATTTCACAGAGTCACCTCCATTCGTGATAATCACGATTACATTAATGAGGAATCAAGTTCGTCGGATAAATCCGAAGATTCATGCAGCGGTGAAAAATGTTGATTCTTTTTTTTTTCAAAACCCGAAGATTAATAATTTCGCAACCGATGTATGAATAGATAGGGAGTCACTTAAGCGTTCCTCTCCATCTACTCTGCATATGTATAGACATACGTTTAACTTTAGACATATTTTAATATATTTCTTTTCAAGAGGAGATTCTGACGTAGACTCTTCTCCTGTTCTGCGTAATATATAACGTTAAAAAAACCGAATATATATTGTATTGAAATATATTTTTGAACAAGATTGTTCTGTAAGGCCTCAGTGTCTGGAATTCAAGATATCATTAATTGTCACATAAGTGATAGTCCAAAATCAATCTTAGAACTTATAAATCGTTAACTTTTTTGTGAAATTTGGAATTTTTGTTCGTTGAAAAAAATTGTCGCGGTAATTCGAATGGAAAAAAATGAGAACGAAGTTCAACTTTAGAGGCTAATAAACGATGAGATTAATACTTGCAAGGAATATTTAATAAATAATTTTCAGTGAGAGAGTAAATTTTAATGGAGTTCTGATTTGAGATGCGATTACGAAGATGTGTTGTAAGGCGTGAGAAATTAAGGATGATGACGTTCCTTGATGTCGTTAAGGAAAAGCGATTTCTGATTACTTCCAATCTTACAGAGGAAGCAACGCTATATATCCAGTTGTTGTTGCTATTCTGGTATTCTCTCTGCCTTCGTATTCACGTTGCAATATCTAGAGCATCGCGATAGAGATTTTACTGTACGCATAGATCGCTTTATTAACAAGTTCGATCCGAGAGTTTAGACTAAGGAATTTAATACCGCGCTGAAAGAGTGAAGGTTTCAATGAGAGATGAGCCATTTTGCTATGCGCAGAAATACCTTTTCGATTACACAAGACAAAGGAGATCTCGATGTAATCACGTCTTATTACACAATTACTTTTGAGTAATGAAAAAAAAATTATTCTCAAACATCAATATATATATGGCAGAATTCGCGCACATTTTCTTTTCCAACGCAGAGGCTCCCGTTGCTTGAGATATCGAAGCAAATGAGAGAGAAGGCTGTTTCTCTTGAACGCAAAAGCTGAGTGTCGGCGATTAAAAGAAATGAAAAACTGTGTTAAGTGTCAAGTCTGTGCACTACTAATAATCTTTGAAAAAAACATCAGATACTTAGTAAACTTTTAAGTGGCACGAGCGTTTAATAAAGTGATAGCTTCGAGTAGTATAAGATACGGGAGAAACGTCATACCTATAAGTCTAGTTTATTAGGATTATAGTAATTAAGCTATCCCTTACGTGGGTATTTCGCATGTTCATTGTAAAAGACAGAGTGAATGTTACGAAGTCAGTTTAATAATTGTCCGCTGATGTGAAGTAAAGTAATGAATAATGTTATAACGAGACACGTAATTCGGAAATGATTTACAAGTAAAAACACTCTCTTGAATGAAATTATCCTAAATGCTAATTTATCTTTCTGGTAATCTTTTTCCATTTATAAAAAAAATCACGGAAATGTTATGTCGCATGCTGTTTCGTCTGCACTTATATATATCATGTAAAATCATTTTTAGAATGTTGGAACGTCCCGGAAATATTTCTGATATTCTTGATAGATTATATAAATATAAAAAAAAAACAATGAAATATAAAAAAAAGAAAAATATGCAACTGAAGAATTGAAAAATCTTTTGCATTAGAAAAAAGTAAAATTACCAATTCTTTTCCATTACTCTTGATACAAGAAATACTAGAATTTTCATCGTATATTTTCTCGTTTCTATGACATTAAATATAGCCGCAGAGAATCGGCGAGAGCTTTAAACTAACATTTCGAAATCAGAGGCGGCAATAATTTCTACCTCCCATAATATTTGGAAATGTAACATGAACTTGTAACATCATTCGTGTTGCATTTTTATTGCAAATATTTAGTGCACAGTCACAGTAACTGTCTAATATCAGAGAGTCAAAAGTCAGTTGATTTATAAAAGAAGATTCCTTTGGATTTTTGATGAAATAATCGTAACTTCCAATTAGCAATTTAAACATACATTTATTAACATACCCTGTCACTGTTATATGGCTGTGAAGTCTGTATTTGCAGCATCTCATCTTCGCAATATTTTATCTAACTTGCGCGGCTATTTCGTCGAACGGACATTCTGTGGCTGTATTAGAATACACATATACTTTTTTTAAGTGATTTAGTTTAATATATCGCGCAGTTGTATGCTAGTTACATGACAGTTGTCACATGGATAATCACATAATCAACAACTTGTCGAAAAATATCTTACGTGTATCCTGTGTAAACAGAAAGGGTGATGTGGTTGATAAAAAAACACCAGATTACAATGTAATATGCTTAAGTACAATCATATAAATCTCTTTGATACTTGTAAATACAATATGTTTTCAGTTTTCAGTTTAATTTTTGTCTTATAAATGTAATCTGGAATTATCCAATTACATGCAGTTGTATTCGTATATTATACATACATACATACATACATGTATATACTACTGAAAAAAATAACTGCAACGGTGGCGGCATTACAAGTAACGCGTTATTTCTTCTAATCTTAAACATACAGACATACATGTAAATATGTTTAAGATTAGAAGCTTGGCCGATTTTTGTGATATATTTCCACTAATTTAGCGCTTAACGTCCTATTTGATGTACAAAGTATGCAAAATTATTGAACATTTTAATCTGATGATTATTTCAGGTTCAACTATTAGAAACAATCAGAATATATAAGAATATATTTAAAAAAAAAGATTTGATATCTTTCACGAATAACAAATCCTCTTATTTATTCTATTATCGCGTAGTGTATTTTGAGATATCTATATAACTAACGAATTAAAAGCAATGCTGATACCGCATTTAATCTACTTTAGAATTGTGTGATAATCATAGTTATATATATATTTCAGGGATATAATTAATAAATTTCATACTGAAAGTGATGTGATAAATATCCTTTTAGCATTATTCAATCAAATTGTATGCGAATAGAGAGAATTTGTGCCTAAGGTGCATGTACGCGCTACTTTCCAATCACTGGAGCAATACAAATATATATATTTGTAATAGGTGAAACGTTTAGATGATACTAGATTCAATTTAGCGATTAGATCTAATGTCCGTCGTAATATTTACATAAGAATATTTTATTGTCAGTATGATCACGAAGTATTTTATGAATCTTATATACGATGGATGTACGTCTGCATGCATGTGTGTGCGAATAAATACATAGTAAAAATGTTTACAAATAATGTCTTATCATATCATTGTGCTTAATTATTTCTTATATCGCTATCGAAATGAACGGAATCAAATATTATAATAAAAAAATACTATTTAACAAAGCAATATTCATGATTATTCATATCTTAATATATATTTTATACAGCTTGCGATTTAAAAATAATATACATTTGGCATTATGGCATTCCCCAAGACAGTTTATAAAGGAAGAATAATTTTTATTAATCATAAAAATTTTAAACTTTGTTATAATTCATAATTACAGAAACAAAGTAGTATTATATGTATATATAAAACTCATTTATTTTTTAATTCTTCACCATTTAGTTTTATTTTAATGTTGTCCGCATTTGTAGTCTTGTAACATTACTTCTTTTATGTAGTAAAAAAATAAAGACAATTTTACAATTATAATACTTTACCGACTATCACTGATTTATCACTATATTATTTTTATTCAACCATTATATTTTTTTTGTTTAATAATTTTATAGATGGAGAAGTACTACATTGAACTGTACAAGATCTAATCTGCTTCATGTAAATATTATTTTCTGATATTCACAAAATTTTATTTTTTCGAGAAATATATTATTCCCTTTCGCTTTAAAATATCTATTATTCTAATTTCTATTAATGCGCTTCCGGTGACTGAGATAAAAGAACTACCAAAACCCATAATTGGAGCAGTGCCTATAAAAATACATATTATATTTTATAGCATTATGTTTGTGTTATAAATGGCATTAATATATACATATGCATATATTTACCATATAAATCAATATTAAAATTCTAGCTAGCGGATATCTTCTCAAAAATACTCCCGTTCGAATGCTTATAGCGTCCAATGAAGAATAAGCTCTCTTTACTCTTCTAGTAACGCTAGTATCAAACGGTGTTTCCATTAAAAATGTAGGAACTTGAGCTTTTGCATCGTCCGTATCATTTATATTATTATATGATATGTTTCTTCGTAAATTTCCCGCAGCACTTCTGTATTCATGCTGTCAAAAAAATTGTTTTTATTAATATATATAGTCCAAAAATATTTTTTTGGAAAAAAATGTATTCCATGTGCCAAAATATTCAATGTTTTGTTTGTGACTAAGTACAGCAACATATTGCAGAAAAAGAGAAAATAAAAAATAATGTATTTAAATAACTGTTTACTTCGATTTTTTCAAGTTGGAGACGTAATGCATTCCTTTCTGTTGTTAAACATTCTAATGCTTGCTGTTTTAGAACCAGAGTCTGGGTAAGAGATGCTATTCTCGAATCCATTTCATTACTCGGCGTTGCTGATACAGATAACTGCAACTTAAGCCTAGAAATCTCTGAATTCTGCTTTTGTAACTGCAAACTAAATCCATTACGTTGACTAATTAATTCATCTTTCAAGGATCTTATTTCCTAAAACAATATTTTAATTTTTATCATTTATTAATTGAATTACTTGAAGACATAATATTGGTAAGAATATAAATAAAAATATATGATTTACCTCAGAGTGTTGTCTCACATCTTCTTCTGCTTCTATTCTTCGACGTCTTTCGCTGGCAAGAATTTCTTGATTTTGTAAATTTGTTTCGGCTGATTTTTGTCGTATCTTCTCCAAGTTCAGATCTGCGTTTATCATCTCTTCCCGTAACATTTTCAATTGTTGAGATATTTGCTGATTTTCCTCTCTAACATTGTCGCGTTCCTGTCTGTAATTTAAATACAATAAGCAATATTCATAGAAAAACTCGGATGAAGAAAATAAGGATTTGAAAAGCATTGATGTTACTTCAGTTGATTCAGCTCCATGATGATGGCTTCATCCATAGCTGTTGGCGTATTACTTTTCAATTCTGCTATAAGTTTCTCTTTTTCTTGTAAAGTTTTCAGTGCTCTAGCTTTATGTTGTTCCAATTCAGATCTAATTGAGTTTAAGTCTTGTCTGTTCCTGTCAATGACAGATTGCAAGATCATTATTTGCTTCGACTGTTCCATCTTTTCCGCTTCCAATGCTATCAATTTTTCGTTTAAAACTACAATCTCTTTTTGATAATCTGTTTGTTTTCCAAGAAAATCATTTTGCTTTTCCAGATGCCTTTCCATTTCTCTTATATATTTTTGTTCAGATTTAGCTGCTGAGTCAATTGGATTATCCAAATTATCCATTTTTAAATTGTCTGACTTTATTTTATATTTGGATTGGGGATAGAACATATTTGAATGTTCTTCTGTATTAATGTATTCTGCAACATAAAGATATATAATAAATGTAAAAAATGAAATGTTACAAATATGATATAAAAAATGAAAAAATACCATTCTGTACAACTTGTACTGCTGATATATTCAGATTGCTACCGTTTAAGGTTTGTGTTTCAACATGTGGATATAAATTTATATTTTCCCCATTTATATTTATTTCTGTGTCTTCATCATCTGAAGCATTAGCGATCATTTCTAGTGAAACATGAGGTGGGGTTGGGCTCCGATCGCTTTGAATCGATAGATCCGAGTCTGTATCAGTTGGATGTTCAACTAATAATGATGAAGTACTCGACGGCGATTTGAAAGACTCTACTGTTCTTTTTGGACTCGGGTCAGGAGTATTTAAATATGTAAATAGAGCATCTTCCTTAGGTGCTGTTATATTCAATAAATTAACTGATGTCAAACTTGAAGTTGGAGCTGCATAAGAAATGTGATCCGATGATCCCAATAGAGACGTTCTGGATGTGTTTCCATTTAGTCTAAATCGAGAAAAAAATTCAAATTTTTATTCAAATTTTACTTTAACATTTTTTATATATTTATATTTTATTACACTAGCAGTTGAAGCAGCATGTTTTAAAATTTGTATGTTGAAAGATGATATTTCGCCAAGTAGTCAACTAATTCAAGTATTCAACGGTAATAACCTGAGATATGAATGCAATTACCCAGATTCCGGTGAGAGCCACGTAACATCTGACAGATGACCATGCGGCATCTCGTATTTATCTTTATTTAAGACGGCCGCGGTGTTTTTGTCAATTTTGTTTAACAAATTCTCTGCCTTATCAGCAAGACCGGACAGCCAGGCCATATTGAGGAGGGCTGATAAGAAATACCAGTTCGAGGAGAAGGGAATAAAAATCGCGTTGCACGTAATAATGCTCGACGAACCGTGCCACACTTCACTTCGCGGCGCGACAGTGACAGAACATGACAGAATACCGACTGTACACGCAGACAAACGGAGGTGTGAGGCAACGTATTTGTTTTAATTGCACTTGCTACACTTAAGTGTCGGCAAGAGAGACTATGGAGACCCCTATCGGAGATAAATTTCTTTTCATGTTACGGCCAAAATGCTGCAAGAAAAACTATATAATTATGATATTTATAATCAGAATATTTGCTTGATGAAAGCTACAGAACGATTTTTGCAAGAAAATGTGTGAAAATAAATAATTCATTTATGCGTAAATAGATTTGCACTATAGGACAATAAGGTGCAAATATTTTCATCTATTGTAAATTTTTTTTAAGAGCCAAAACCGATTCTGTAGTAAGAGTCATAATTTTATAAAAAATACGTAGAAAAAGACTCATGGCAGAATATTGCTTCTATGAGATAATATATGAGTGTACTCAAATATATATCTGCAGTGTAAATAAGTAGATAATCATTTTAGATCAAATCGGAATTAGCCCGTCACTCTTGCCGATCCCTTGCCGAAGTGGAAATCACGATTGCGATAAAAAAATGTTTATTCCAGAATGCCCGGGAATGTATTACAAAACTATTCGGCATAAATTCTGATTAGAGTTATTCCGTTTTTTTTTTTTGTTTAAGAAAAGATAATAGAAATCTAAAAAATAATTAAATACTTTCGATCGGAATCTGTTTCAAACAATTTCGTAATATTGGACAAAGTATATTTTTGTTAGAGTGAAGCTAGAGAGGAAAAAGGATTGAAAATCTATAGGTATCTCTAGGTCTACAATAAGTGATTTAAGCCTTAAACCATAAGAAATTGACCAATCGTAGTTGACTGTTCTCCTATTCTTCGACTATGATTCATCCATTTCTTATGGTTTAAATCACTTATTGTAGACCGGGACTAGAGATCCTACAAGAAGAGACTCGCCAACTCGTCACGTGACATTAGTAGATTCTGATTGGCTGAGGTATGGATTGCACACTGGGGATCGATCATGTAACTTTTCCCCTAGGGCTGAAACGTGAAAAGTGAAAAGTTTCACGTGAACTTACGATCATGTATTTTGCGAGATCATGTAACTCTCTCAAATGTGAAAATGTGAAATTTTTCACGTGAACTTTTTCGCTATGTACCTTGGTGACGGAAAGGCGGAAATCTAGGGAATTAATAAATATGCTTCGGAATTAGAGAAGATTAGGGCTGCATTAGGATTAAGTGTACGTAATACATATACAATTGGTTATTAAAAGATGTATATAATAAAATAATTTTCATTAGCTATAAAACACATTTTCACGTTTGAGAGAGTTACATGATCCCGCAAAATCGTACATGATCGTAAGTTCACGTGAAACTTTTCACTTTTCACGTTTCCACTTTAGAGGAAAAGTTACATGATCTTACTGAAAATTTATAATATATATGACAAAATTTATAATATATATGAACTATATATTTTCAGTACTGGCAGTGAATATCAAAACGCAGCCTTTATTCAAATATTTGTATATCCATGCGATTGGTCATTCGATAGTACATTTTCTGATTCTCCAAAGATTTCTTTATCAATAACCAATCATATGACATGCGTGAATTTTTCTTGTACCTATTACTGATGGTCGTCAGTATAAAGAAGGTCTATATATAAACCAGTTCTGAATATCGTTACATTGCGCAAAGCTGAAGAAGATACGTATAACGTTGCAAATTTGCATTAATGCAGATAAAGATACATACGCGAGGATCCAAAGTATGAGTCTTATGGAAAATTCAAATTCGCAAGTTGTCATTGATGATCAATTGCAACATTTTATTGAGACTGAGACCAAGAAGCATCAATTCCAGGTTAATTCCTCAGTTGCTCCAAAGCAAAAATAATATAAGCAACAAAATAAATATCATTTATTGATATCTCGCACTTTGTAATATCAAAGATGACATAAGCATTTATCAGTAATGTTTTTCGTCATATCTAATTTTAATTTCGAATAGTTGAGCTTTCAATTTTATAATACTCTTAAGAATGAAAATTTTATTATGTATTTCATCATCTTTCTTTTTTTAAAGTAATTTCTATTATGTCTGAAAGAAGTAATGGATAAATTATATAACCTAATGATACTTTTAGGGATTGGTGCATGAATTGACGGGTCTCTGTTGGGAGGTTTGTATGGATAAGCCATCGTTACGTCTGGAGTCCAAAGTTCACAAGTGTCTTGTGAATTGCGTGGGAAGATTCATCGACACTACTAATTATATCGCAAACAGAATTGAACGTGTTGCCTCGAGTTTACCATCTGAATCAGAAAACATGGAGTAAACGTATTATCTCTAAGAATTATGTGTCAAAGTTTGTCATCTTTAGAAACTCTTTAATATATTTGTACATGTGCTAAATCTGCATAAATCATTGGATATGTTTTCGAGCATTCGGGGATTTCTGAGTCGCCACAGACGCAAATTTATATTTGGAAGTGTGGTTGTTAGTAGCATTATTTTCCTTACACGCTATACACAACGTAAGCTGTTAGAATGGCAAGAAAATGAGATAAAAATGCTAATGGAAAGAACAAAAAAGCGACAGTACTATGAAAGTACAGAGAGAACATGTAATCAAATGATTTCGTCTCTTGCAGTAACTTTAAGAAACTCTGTAGTCAAAGAAAACGATACAGAAGCTATTTTAAATCAACTTAGAGAGGGCACAGCTGATAAGATATCATCATGGAATCAATTAAAAGTATTAGCAATCACACGTTCAGCTGTAATAATTTATTCTTATACAATGTTAGTTACATTTCTTAGAATTCAGCTTAATTTGATTAGCGGGCATATGTACAAAAGCGTGCAGAATGTGAACAATGGAACTATCGGTAATGAAGTACAAGCAAGATATATGGCTCTTTCTAGCTATTTTATATATGAGGGTATTAAAGAGTTGAGCAGTTTCATAAAGAATAAAGTCACTGAGATCACAACTTCATTGTCCTTGACGGAGCGGTTAACACTAAGAGACTTAGAACAGATTTATTGGGCGATTACATCTTCCATATCTGCCGATGGTGCGAAAGATCCTGTAAAGAACTTCACGTATTATACGTTACAACAGGATATTGAGAAGAGTGACACGTCTACTTATTCGAAGCTAAGAGATCAAGTGCTAGATGTATCGGAAAGTGAAGAAGTGCAAGATTTAATGCAGAAAAATATTCGAAGTGGATTTGTTATGTTAATTGATCATATATCTACATACTTCAGTGAATCTCCCAAAATTGATGCACAGAACAGAATGTTGCTTTCAAGAGAAGGATCAAGCGTCAAAAATTCGATTTTAACAGACTTGAGAGAAGAAGCAAGTGGATTTGTAGACGTTAATAAGACCACTATGGCCTTGGCCAAAATTATTCCTATTATAAATGGACAAGTTCCAGATAATCCAATGCCAAACGATATAGCAGCGGATTGGCTTCAATATCTAATATTAAATAGTGATCTTAAAACACTCGGGGCGAATCTTTACGAAGCAGTCAGCTAATTGTAAGGCTAATTACAAATCAACCAAAATCAATCAGTCTTGAAAATTTAATTATCGACTGGACAATGCAGCGTGATAATTTTGTTAGAATTCATAGAATTTTTTTATTATATTCAAATCAAGATTATTTTATACAAAGCATTATATATATATATATACAAAATTTTTATTATATCTTCATAGATCAAAGTTGATGATTTCACTCTTTCTTTACTAATGTTTCTATCTCAAAATATCAAATAAAATTATATACTGAAAAGGAGATATTCCATATATATATATATATTATGAAAAATATTTAAATAGCGCGATTTGTTATTAAAAGCAATAGAGACAAGTGTAAGAAACTTAAATAAATAACATTGCTATTATGTATATGATATGTAATGTAAACAAGAATTTGTTTCAGATTAAATAGTATTTAATAACGGTGTGGTAAATAATTTTTAAATAATGTGGTTGATAATTTTACATAATAAAATTTTATTATCTTGATATCATAATAAAGTTTTGTTTATTTGAATTTTATAGATGATGTTTCTAAATCTATACATATATTAAATACATTGCTTTGCTATCTGGTAAGATAAGATTTGCATATGAAGAGTAAATTGAAGATTATCAATGAAAAAAAATTGCTGATTATTTCCATAACTTCTTGATCGACATATTTTTCTCGGAATCTTTTTGCATTACTTTTGCTACAGCCATCTCAAAATCTTCTTGAGTTACATGAACTCGGCGTTCTCTAAGAGCGTACATTCCAGCTTCAGTACAAACACCCTATAATTTAAATATTTTAAAATAAATATTTAAAAAGATATCGTATGTCGAAAAATTTGATAATTTTTTTATTAAAAATATACGGGAAAATTTTCAAAAATTTTTTATCAAAGTTTAAGATCCTACCTTGATATCTAGAATCCTTTTAAATAATTTTTTGAAGTAGAATAATTTATTAAGAACAAATAATTAGACTTACGTTTAATATTTATATATTTTTGATACTGACAATCACGAAGTTATAATGTAAGCTAAATCTACTTTTTACCTTGACTTCTGCTCCTGATGCACCAGGCATAAGTTCTGCTATCTTTCTCAAATTTATTCCACGTGTCAAATTCATTTTCCTAGAATGGATTTTCAAAATATCCAATCGAGCTTCTTCATTTGGAGGTGGAAATTCGATCTTGCGATCAATACGCCCAGGACGTAATAATGCTGGATCCAAGATATCAATTCTGTTTGTAGCCATGATAACTTTTATGTTCTTTGTTGCTTCAAAACCGTCCAATTGATTGAGCAATTCTAACATAGTCCGTTGCACCTGAAAAAATATAATTTATAGTATAATTAAAAAAGATAAAGCTATATTGTTTGCGTATATTTTATACGTACTTCGCTATCACCTCCAGATCCAGATTCAATTCGGGAACTTCCAATGGAATCAATTTCATCCATAAATATAATAGACGGCGCATGTTCTCTTGCCATGACGAAAAGCTCGCGTACCATACGCGAACCTTCTCCAATAAATTTCTGCACTAATTCAGATCCAGATACACGAATAAAGGTACATTCTGTATGATGTGCAACTGCTCTTGCAAGTAGAGTCTTGCCGGTACCTGAAGTATTTTATGTTATTTATGTTATAGATTATGGTAGTTAAGTTAAAATATTTATGCAACATGAAAGTTTCACATGTATTTTTTGAATACAGTAAATTGTTACCAGGTGGTCCATACAGCAGTACACCTTTGGGTTGTGCAATTCCAAGAGCATCAAACAATTCCGGATGCTTAACTGGTAACTCTATGACTTCTTTTATTTCCTTTATTTGTTTGTCTAAACCTCCAACCATTTCATATGTAGAATCTGGCACTTTTTCCACCATCATAAGAGAGACAAGTGGATCAACTTTATTCGGCAATATTTTATGTAGAGTATAACTTTCATTACGTAGAGCAACGCGCGAGTTTGGTGTTACATCATTAATATCGATGTTTTTATCTATGTCCACTACAAATTTACCCTCCGGATGTACTTTGACTAGAACTTTCTTTTTATCCATAGGTTTAACTACTTCCCCTACATAGGAACCCTGTTCTTGCAGAAGCTGTAGTTCTTCTCGCAACATACGCACTGTCAAAGAAAAAAATTACATAATTAAAATTCAAGATCTTCTTTTTTCAAGATCATAAAAAATCAAATCTATGAAATCTTGTATAGCACTTATGTCTAATTCAAAATAAATAACTAACCTTTAGCGTTGAGTTCATTACGCTGTGCTTGGAGTCTCCGTAAATTTTGGCTTTTTTCAGCGACAATTAACTGCAATTCCTCAATCTTCGTAATGTAATACGGTTTGAAACCTTCTCCCTTAGCATTTTTCTCGTCAATATCCATCTGAAAAATTTCGAACGCTCGAGTTGGATATACATGAATAGAAAATTCTTAATCATAATTTTTAATTGCACGATATTTTTTTACCTTATTTGTGAGCGTCATGGCTGACGAAATGGTAATAAAATTTTTTAGATAAATATTCGATATATCGTTATTCAGTCAAAGGCGCGACGTTGACAATCTAACCTCACTCATTCCAAAATTCGTTGACACGTCACTTCTCGCTTGTCACTCTTTTCAGCGAACATTAAATTCTTTTTACATGCAAGATTTAGGGCGGGAGACATTTACACAACGCATGAGAAAATCAACCAATCAAAATTCTTCATTTTTATTCTGGGATGGTAGATTTTCTTAGTGTCGATCCACAATAAGTATTTAATCTTTAAGCCGTGAGATTGACGCCAAGAAATTGACTAATCATAGTCGAGTATTCTTTTCATATTCGATTATAATTGGTCAATTTCTTACTTCTTAAAGCTTAAATCATCTATTGTGGACCGACACTTATGCGTTATATATAAAAGTTGTTCAAATCTAGTTACATCAGACTAGGATTGCGTTCCGATATTCACTGCAAGAAAATCTATAATATACATGACCTGAACTATATATTTTCAATACTGGCAGTGAACATCGGAATGCAGCCTATAGACACTACGAGTACAGTCCACTTAGCACTACTAGAAACATTATAATAAGAGATTGGTCAC